TTAATGGCCACTAAAACCACTTCTAGCATATATCATATATCTTTGTAGCATATGTAACATATCTTTTTCTTGTTTTAGGTATTGAAAAGAGGTACGAGTGCGCTAACTTTGGGGACCAGGGCATCACGGTGGGCTGCTGGGACACGTACAGGCACGATATCGACTGCCAGTGGATCGATATCACCGACGTCAAACCGGGGGACTACATCTTCCAGGTGTGCTGTCCTTTATTTCCTCCTAATCAGAGATAATCTGTGTGTGGCAGTGGTGGGAAGTTACGAAGTACAAATACTTTGTTACGAAGTACAAGTACTTCGTTTCCAGTGTTTGGGAGTAACGGATTACATGTAACGACGTCACGTAATTTAATTACAAAGAAAGAGTAACTGTAATTCGTTACAGTTACAATGAGAAAATATGTAATTCAGTTACAGTTACTTCCGAAAATATTAAGAATTACAAATTAAGTTACATTTTTTTTTAAATATAAAGAAAAACCGTTGCAAAATATGCAACTCACTGATAGACGAGGCGTATTGATTTACTAATATTTGACTGTTTGGTGTTGATGCATGACAAACGTTTATGGATGTCTATGACCTAGCCTAGCCTAGCCTAGCCTAGCCTAGCCAACTCTCTTTTTCCCGGACATGTCCTACATTTCAGACCAGGGTTGTCAAAAGTATCGATACTTAAAAAAGTATAGATACTAAAATGTTGTATCCGGATACGACTGACTTGATTTATTTATGTATTTATTTACGTTGTTTATGATCATTAACAAGACGTTAGCCTTGAAGCTGCGGCCAATAGCTAATAATATCAGGCTAAAATTAATCATGGGTCAATACTCATTAAAACCTTAAAGTAATCAAAAAGTAATCAAAAGTAATTAGTTACATTACTTTTTAAAAGTAATCGAAAAAGTTACACTACAATTACATTTTAAACAAGGTAACTTGTAACTGTAACGGATTACATTTTTAAAGTAACTTACCCAACACTGTTCGTTACTGTACTTAAGTACAATTTCCGTGTATCTGTACTTTACTTAAGTAGATTTAATAATGGATACTTTCTACTTTTACTCCACTACATTTAACAGTAAGTATCTGTACTTTCTACTTCACTACATTTCTATACAGCGTTTCGTTACTCGTTACATCCAAGACGCATTTCGGTTTTTGGATTTGTTCGTTAGTTTAATAATATTTTAATTAAACATAAAATAAATAAAGCAGTTATTGCATTTTTGAAGGTAACAGGATTATATGGCGATAATACATCTTAACGTTAGATGTCACCTGCCAATAAAAAAAACACAAAGAAGAAGAAGAAGAATAGACACACAAACAAATGAAATTATAAATGTATGGCATGAAACATTTAAATAAATACTAACACACACTGGGTTAATTGTGGAGGAACCTCCACAGTTTGGTTTGAATTCACCGTTTTGCCTCCATCCATTTTCTTCCTCTGACAGATCGTGATTAATCCGAACTATGAAGTGGCCGAGTCCGACTACACCAACAACATCATGAAATGCAGATGTCGGTACGATGGTTATCGGGTCTGGATGTACAGCTGCCATAACGGTGAGGGGGGAAGATTTAAGCTGCGTTAATAGGGAAAAAAGACCCGTTCAAAGAGTCACAGAAGCTCTGTGATCGCTAGCTAACTGTGGCTTGTAGCTAAAAAAAAAAAAAAAGACATTCCAACCTTGAGTCCATTAAGTTTAACCTTAAATTTGGGTAAATATGTTTAGATTAATGATTATTAATTACTGTTAGTTAGTTAGTTAGTTAGTTAGTTAGTTAGTTAGTTAGTTAGTTAGTTAGTTAGTTAGTTAG